TTCATCTAGACAGAAATAACACAAAGAAAATTTCCTTCGCAGGCTGCCCCAAGCCTATATCGTTAGCTATCAGTTAAGTTCCCTCTGCGAGGAGTAAGTCATTCCTCAAAGGAGATGCATTTGGTGGCACACAGCTTTATAAGCCAATAAGGGGCTCAAAGAACCCTGCAGAAGAATAATACTCATCACTTTATGCCTGAAGGGTTAACCCACCTGCAGTCAGGCTTCCAGGATGAAATTCAGACCTTAGAAAATTCTGGCTCTCAAGACATCCAGCCATACCACAGGAGGACTCTCAGTCCAGGGCTTCCACTTGTTCATCCATCTTGGTCTGCATTCCCTGATACTGACACCTTCACTTCCTGAGAACAGGATGGTCCTGAAAAGCAGCTTCCTGGTGTGACAGCAGGAGACAGCTACTGGACTCCAACGTGCCTTATCCAGTTTGAGTTTCTCTCTAGCACATCTTTTCTAGACTATCCATGATCTGTCTCCTGTCTACCTCATCAGCAAGGAGTTGCCTCCCCTCCACCCTACTCACAATCCATAAGCCTCGTACACAGTCTCTTTGTAATTTCCCAGTCCACCACTTCTTCTGTTTGATCCATCTGCCAAGACACAGCTTTGGAAAGTATTTGGATGTTGAGACAGAGGACACTCACTAGTGAAGATGAATGAATGTCTATTTAGTACAAGTTGGGATTCCCAGGAAGAGAAGGGACACAGGAGAAGCTGGTCATGAGAAGGAAAGCAAAAGAGGGAGAGGAGAGGGTGGCTTTGTTTTTTGTCATCAGGATATGGTGCCAAGAAGAGGGCTGCCCTGCACAGTGGGGCTAGAGGCTATGCACTTTGAATCCAGCCAGTGCCTCTCTGTATACTGACCTTTGGCAGGTCCCGTGGGCAGTGGTGGAGAGGAGGGATGAGCAGGAAGGGCCCATCAACATTAAATGCCAAAAATGGAGCCATGTCTTTATGGCATTTCAACCCCCAAAGCCTTCATACAAGCAGTTCTTCCAGTAGGCAGACTCCAACCTATCCTCTGGAAGTCCGCTTAGGAATGGACTCTTCCAGAAACTTTCCCACCTCACCCAGTCACATTAGTCCAGTTGCCTCTCTGTTGCAGAGGTGACCTGTGTTTACCTCCATTTTTATAGCACTTATCACATTCGCTCTTTGTATCGGTTGAATGGCATCTCCCAGAAGATATGTTCAAGTCCTGGGCTACCTATGAACAGGGCTTTATTTGGAATAGGGTTTTTGCAGATATAATTAAGATCAAGGAATGAGGTCAGCTGGATATAGTGTGGGTTGACAGTGGGCTTACAAAGAAGAGATTCCAGTGGGAAGGCCATGCAAAGATGGAGACAGAGAATGGGGTTCAGCTGCCACAAGCCAAGAACCCCAAGGATGTATTATTGCCTGCAGCTTCCAGAAGCTAAGAGACAGCCTGGGAATGTATTCTCCCTCAGAGCCCCTGGAAGGAACCAATTTTGCTGACAGCTGGATTGCAGATTTCTGGCCCCCAGAACTGGGAGAGGACAAATTTCTGCCACCCAGTTTGTGATCGTTTGCTTTGGTAACCCTGGGACACTATTATTTTTATTCATTTTATGTCTGGATTTTTATCTTCATTGCAAGAACTATGAACTCTTGCAGAGCAGAGGTTGTGTTTGCTCATCTTTAAATTCTCTAGAACCTATCGCTGTGCCTGGGACAAATGGAGGAATGCTGTAATGTTTTCTGAAACAAAACTACTGAGTCTAAAGCAGTTGAACACAGAGGGGGAACCCTAGCTCAACAGCAGGAGGCTTCCTGTTGGATCAAGCTGTGGCAAAGTCCCAAAGGGTTTGACCACCAGGTAGAGAATCAAAGGTACGGCACAATGTACACTTTTGCGTAGACTCTTCCTCTGTTTCTTGCCTGCAGGTGGATTTCTAGAACTTTGGGTTGGCGGCAAGTCCCTCTGCCAATCTATGCAGGCACAAGAGTGCTTTGGCATGAATCCACATTTTCTCTCTGGGTCCGTGTCCACCAGATTTAACTAGAAGATGGACACATAGTCTGGACCCTCTGACTTAAACCACATGGTCCCCTGGGAGCCCCAGGGATGAGGGTTCCAATGGTGCAGGAGAGTTGTTTGATTTGGTGCTTTCTTCCCTCTCAGGAGGAGGTAAGTGAATGAGGATGAAAATATTTACTTAGAGACCACCTAGGCCAGGTCCGAAAGCTCCTGAGCCAGGTGGGAAACTTCAGCCCAGTGAGAGTTCTCTGTTTTTGTTAAAGAAATCAGAGATGGGCAGCTCAGGAGCTCGGAGCCCTTGGTGGACATCTGAGCACGAATCCCTGAAGCTGCCCCAGCGACCATTGCTCCTTCGCACTTTTCCATCGCCTCGTTTTACACATGACAAACAGTCCGGTCACTTGTTTAAGGCACAGGGTTTTCTTTTTCCTCCTCCTCCTCTCTTACTCTTTTTTTCTAAAAGCCACAAGAGTGTTAGGTGATTTTTCCCTCCCGGCCTGGAGAACATTTATTACAGATGCTTAATCTTTCCCCTCTCCTTGGGGCAGTTCAAGCCCTTGTACCCAGGAGGTAGAGGTTGGCCTTGGCAGGAATGCTGCCAACACGTAGGGGCAGAGGCTTTTTATTTTAGCCTGTTCTATCAGGCAGGCCTGGGTGAGAAACAAGCCATGCGCTGACAATAGATTACACCAGAAACCACAGCTTGCATGCAAGAGAAACAAAAGGGTCCCTCCCTGCCTTCCAGGAGCTTCCACAAAGACACAGACATGTGAAAGGAAAGGAGAACAAAGAATCTCTTTGCCAGCAGATGTGTAAAACTGGTCTTTTTCATTTTTTTCCCTCAAGAAACTTTGCATCCAGGACATTATTTCATCTATTCCCAGGATAGAAAGCAGGTAGCCTGACTTTGTTTTGTGGGTTTGGATACCAAGAGGTTGTATGAATGGCCCGAAGTCACACAACTTGTTTATGTCAAGGTAGAAGCAAAATCTCACCCTCCTGGTTACCACTTCTGGCACTTTTGATCCTCATCAGAGCAGCAACCCTCTCCTGGACTCTTTCTCTTTGCCAGATCTTATTCTAGACACTCCGCCTGAGTTGCTGAATTCTCACAAGGGTCCTCTAAAGGATGGTCTGTTATCACTCCTGTCTTACAGTTAAACTGACATTTGTCCAGCTAACACTGCTGAGTAGTACTGAGACCACAATTCACACCAAGTCCATCTAACTCAAAAGCTCTTCCTTGTGACTCTAAGCTATAGATTTTAAGATTCCATTTGCCAAGAGAGGCCAGAGTAAAGTAGTGGTTGATATCTGAAGGGTTTGATTAGGAAAATGTCATTGGGTGTGAACTTTGAGTCCACTTAGAAATGGGAAAAGGATGAGCGGTAACACATATTTCAGCTAAATTACATCAAGTCCTTTGGAAGAGTTATCACCTATGGCCCCCTCCCTGGATGGCATGGTTCTCCCAATTTTACAGGTAGGGGGCTGAGGCTTGGGGAGACCCAGTTCTTGCTCACAATCTCCCAGCTGGGACCTTGATGGAATCAGGATTCGCGTTCAGGAGGGTCTGACTTCAGAAAAGTCCTGCCTCTCCATCACCCTTAACAGCACTGTGAAGGTGCAAGGGGATGGTCCAGATCGCATGTGAAAGCCATAGGTTGGGCTTGAATTGGTGAACAGGGACCCTGCAAGGACTTTCCTTAATCAAAGCCACATACCTGTGTTGAAGGACATCAGTAATACATCGGTAAATATCCAGGGAACAAAATTGCTGCAACTTAATAGCAGTAGACTTTCATTTTCTCTCTTGATAATTTTTCTTAACATTTTCTTTTGCCTCACAGCAGAACACATAGAACTGTACCAATTTCCATAATTTATTTAGCTTGATTCAGATTCTTTTGACATAGCTGTCATGTTGCTGACAGATGCCAACACCCTCTTATTTTCCCTCTCTAATGCTACATTTGTGGAGAGCCATATAATGACCTCCACCATTTTTTAACTATTTACAATGAGAGCGCCTGCATGAGCTTATATAATTTGTTCAACAACCGTGCAAAGTAGGTATTATTTATCCCAATTTTAAGATGAGGTAACTGAAGCAAGAGTGGTTATAAAATTTCTTCAGATCACACAGGGAGTAAATGGCAAAGCCAGGATGTAAACTTAGGTTTCTGGGATTCCAAAATTCATTCTTTCTACTGCCTAAAGGTAACTGGATAGGCTCTAGGTGGAGGCAGTGAAAAAAAAGAGTCTTTTAAGGTCACGTTTGTGTGTTTTAATGTAAGATAATAAATAATAGGGAAGGAGATGACATGATGGAAATGGTGCTTGGGGCAGGTGGGGAGAGACTAGAAACAAGAAAAGTCTTCGTTAGTGGCTATGAAAAGCAATAGGAATTTGGAATTTCAGTACCTGAAAAACAATAGAGGTTGTAGAAACCAGAAATGACATCTCAGGACTTGTAGACTTTGTGGAAAAATAATAGGTAGGATTTGAATTATAATCAAAGGGAAGGGAAGAATTGAAAGAGACACAGAAGGCAAGTTCATGGGATGTATGGTCACAGCATCATAACCATGAGAAAGAAGGTGATTGGCTGTGATGACAAGGGATTTGAAAGGCAGGGGCCATTTCCTTCTTGGGGTTCTGCAGAAAGAGCTAGAGACCGGCAGCCCTAGTGAATAGTTGTACCACATGCAGTTGTAGTGCTGCCTCTACCAGTGGCCATGGATGAAGACCTTTGGAGATGGAGCATTCAACATTGCCAGACCCAACCCAGATGTGAAATCCTGACTATATGCTGACTAAGAGCTGGAGAGGGTATGCTTAAGGCCATGAGAAAAAGCAGCTGTACTGAGCCATGCTTGTGTCTATACCAGGCATGGCAGCCTATTCACCATGGTCACACCCCTTCCCACCCTCCACCAGCCCAGCCTCCCTGTGCCATAGGAGGACTAGGAGGACTTACTGGAGCTGCGCAGTCCCCAGAGTGAACAGGAACTCAGACTCATCCGTCACCACTCCAAATGAAGCCACACCTAGGGAGCAGCTAGAGCTTCCGTTACTCTGATTTTCATTCTTTTATATCCAATCACTTTCTGTCTCACAGTAGCCTGCTGAGATCATGGCTCTACCCTATTACCCTGCGGATGTTTCTACAAAATGTGTGTGGTCTGGACTATTGATGACAGCCATACACTCCTGCCTGCATATTCCTATCCACACACTCTGGAACATTCAGTATAAGAGGTCACAACATGGCAGCCCATGAACATGATATATCCCATATTTTGTTTGCCCTACACAATGTTTGTTAACATATTGAGTGAACAATTTTAAATTGGGAAATCTCACACATTTCCCACTTCTCCTTAAAAAGTAAAAAGCTCTAGCAATCCCACATGTCAGGGAGCAGCAGGAGCCTTCTATTGCTGCTCTCTTTATATATAACATTTTGTGTGTATTTTACCACAGTCTCCACCATGCCCTATTACCTTACACAAGGCCAGCTGCCCTCCTTTACCTCACTTATATGACCCCTACAGACATTTAAACTTTGGGACCCCAATGTATGGTAATGATGTTGTTTCAAATAGAAGTTAACTGATGCCCAGAAAGCATGAATGCATTTGAATAGTAGGAATAATTGAATTCTAATTTCTTCTGTCTCCCTCTATGTCTTCCTTAATTTCATTCTTTCCCCAAAATGCACAGCACTCCACAATAAATGCTGAGAATCAGGACATTACCCTTTCCTGCCAGCATGATAATTGAGATCAGCCACTTTCCATGCGATAGCATCTTACTCTGGAGAGCGATGTGGTCGACGGAATGATCAGCCTGGAAAATCACTCTGGGCTAGGGTGGGAGGCATGCTGGCGGTGAGGGGACTTAGGGAGACCACTCAGAAAGTTGTGACTGGACCTTTCCAGACATGGAGTCCAGGCACATCTCTGCTCAGCATGCAACTCTGGGCCTTTAACCTCTTCTATGACCTCGAGAGGACCATAAAGCCCAAGTCCTCTATGATTATCCTTGGCATAGAGCACACTCCACCTGCTGCCTCCCTCCAACATGCAGTGAGGACAGGACTCTGCTCTCTCTGTTTGGAGCCATCCCCTGGTTGACAAGTTGGGGCTCTCAGCATCCCCTAGAGAGAATGAGAGGGAGAAACTTGGGCCCAGATATCCCAAATTTATAAGATATATAGCCCAAAATGCTGTTTTTTTATGGTTTTACACCAGCTACAACTTGTACATTTTGATAGTGGTTTTTGATGACTCTGGATTAGTCTTTTTGTAAAAGAGAAGCAGTATTATAGAGTGGACAGAGTGCTGAGTGGAAGCCTTTTTCAGCCCTTTTAATACTAGGTTCTGTGCCCTTAACAAGGGCTTCTTTAAAGGAGACAGACTGAACATACCAAGGGCATTAACATGAAGAAATAAGCACACCTCCTGCAAGCCTAACCAGGCCTGTGTGCAGCTTGGGGCTCCTGGGATTTTACAGCCACAGTCTGACAGTCAAAACCACTGAGAGCACTGGTTTTCATCCATATCTAAATGTGCCACTTCTAGGACGCTCAGCTGCACTTGCTGCAATAGGCTTAAATAATATTTAAAAGCCAAGTCCTTCATCTTAATAGATATTAAACTTAATAGATAGTATTAATAGACACGATACCTTCAACAGCTCTTGAATCCTCCCTAGGACCCAATAAAGTTGGCACTCAGTAATTAACACTCACAACTGGACTCACTGCTCTTCAGTTTCAAGTGTGTGTTTCATGTAGCCCATGCACCCCTTGTGTAATAATAATCTCAATAGGTGTTTTGAAAAAGTCATGAAGCATGATGTTTCCCTCAAGGAGATTATACTCTGGTAGAAGGCCATCCCTCTGATTATACACACGGGTACTGGTGACCACAGCAGTGGCATAAGTACTAAGGAAGATCTTTAAAAAGTGGAATAGAAGCTGAGCTGAAGGACAGAAGTGAAGTTTGGAGCAACTCATGTCAGAGCTGAGTGTTAGAAGAAGAGTAATATATCCACAAGAACTGCATCATCTTGCAGGGAAATTGTGTGTGTAAATATTCCTGGGTATTTTCATCGTGACTCAATGTGAATAGCCTCACCCTGTGCTAAGCCCAGACCAGATGCAGAGATGACCATTGTTTTGCTTTATTTGCCATTTTCTCCTTTTGGAGAGCAACATTTGGGTAGAGACTGCTTTTTAGTCCTCTAATTACGAAAGTTCTCTAATAACAATTACAATTGGACATCTCGGTCAATGGTGATGGGCCTTGGGCTTTTGTCTTTTCTCTAGCAGCATTCAGCTCTGGCATGTCAAGATCTCAGAGCCTCCAATGCCTCATTTGTCAATTGTTCATCCTCTCACCTTGTTGAAAAGACAAAAGGCTGGAAACAAGTGTCCTTCAACAACCACGCAGGTGACAATCATGCAGACACCTAGGCTGTGCCAGGAGCTAGATTAGGTCTCCCTTTGACAAACAGCTTGCAAAATAAGTGTGACAAAATAGGCTTCCTTTGGTATATTTCCTAAGAGAATCTATTTTCCAAAAAGGAAAGTTAACCCAGACCCCTAAATTGTAAGGTGATTGTGAAGGTGACCCACTATCAAAAGGGTACTGTCACCTCCCTGCCAGGCCCTAAGGACTTTTAGGAAACAACCACAATGGTCTCCCATCCAATCCAGTAGCCAAACCACCCAGCCCATTGCCCCAACCGAGCATCCTAACTACAGGCCTAATTGGAGAGGGAGGCAGGCACACCCCTGCCAGCTCCCCCTGTCCCCCTGCTCTGTCCTGCCCACCCTGCCTGCTCTGAGGAATGGACTTGAATCCCACCCGGTTCAGGGGCACAAAAGCCAACTCCAATCCGATGGCAGCGTCCTCGATAAACATATTCCCTCCCCAGCGGGCGCCTTCTAAGACTTTATTTCTCACCATTTCTTTCATTCTTTGAAAGTGATTTCTTTGTCAGAAGCAACGTGTGGAGCTTCCCCTCCCTCTGCCTTTGACCCTGCGCCGGAGACTTGGCCATTCCTGGAGCCAGGCCGTGGGAGAGGCGGCCATTCAGCCTCCCCGGACAAAGCCTGGGTTCCCTTGGCAACAGGAACCGTGTGGAGGTTCGCAAGGGGTTTCCCTCCACCCCCTAGGTTCTCTTTCAACTCGAGCGCTTATCCCGGTCTCTCATGGAGGCGTCTCTGACCAGGGTAGGAAACCGGCAGTTGCGAATATCGGTCACTGGTGTTTGGAGACAATTGTTTTGCCCGCGACAGGCAAGAAAATGTGAGGCGAGTGGGTGAGTGAACTGGGGCGCAAGCTGCTGAGCGTCCTGGGCCAGGCCGAGGGAAAGCAGCTTTCGCTTCTGTGCACAGCCAAGTCCTGATCCCAAGTGGTTTGGGGCGGTCAAGTGAAGTGCGGTACCTTTTGGGGACGTGAGAGATTGGGGATGGATGGAAGAAGAGAGGCTTCCCAGAGGCAAGTTTCTGCGTTGTGTTTTGGTTTCTATCTTATGCTTGGATGTTTGCTTATCTAAATAGCAGAAAACGGGGCTTGCCAGCTGCCACGTTGGTATCAACTCCATGCTATGCCACTGGCTCATTTCTGCTAGTGGACCTGCAGGCGGGCGCACACTCTCTGTCTCTCTGTGTCTCTCAGTTTCTGTCTCTCTTTCTGTCTCTCGACTTTTTTCTCATGATGGAGAAGAAATATTTGTTCTGAAACCCACCAAGAACTTCTCTCTGGAGCGTGGAGCCAGGGCTGGGCACTGTGTTTGGCCCCTTGTTGCTCCAGAGGTTGTGGAGGGTCTGGATTTGCTGTCACAAAGGCAGGCTCATCCAGAAGACCTAAGTTACACGTTTGGTTGATGGGAGGAGATGTCTGTTATTGATTGGATCAATGGTAATGGAAAGTTTATAGGAGAATGAAGTCTAATACTGAAGAATGGGCTGAAGACAGGGTATAGGGAAAAAAATTCAGCTCTTTTGTGTCACCTCAGAATTTCAGAGCAAGTGAGAACTGTGCTATAAAGGATTCTGGAGAGTGACCTGGGAGCTTCAGGCTCTTGAGGGAGACAGAGACCTTGCTAGGAAAGGATAGAAGGCAGAAGCCAAGACACCTTCCCTTTCCTTCTTTCTTACCTTTCTCTTTCCCTTGTCTTCTCTCGTTCCTTTTAAAAGGATACGCAGAGCAGAACTGTTTCAGGAGGCTCAGAGTTACTTTAGGGTCTCTGTGAAGTTAAACTGAGTACTGCATTCAACTATTAATCACACATTTCAATAAAAAATTTATTTCTTTCATCCTGTGTTCAAATTTGCATTAACTTTTTGTGGATGGGGACTATAGACTGTTTCCATTGTTGCATCACAACCACCTCTGGGTGCTTGCTCAATGTTTGTAAAATTGAATCGATTCTCCCGTGAGCAGCCTGCAGTGTTGCTGTTTACCTTGATGGTCTGCGGCAGGGAGGAGGCTGGAGCTAGGACCAGTCCTGTGAAGAGGCGAATTAGGTGCTGCACTTAGACGAGACATTAGCAGTACACCCTTGGTCAAGCTATTTCTGACTCTTGGTCTCTCCATCCATCAAGTGATAGTACTCGGGTATAGTGTCCCCCACCAAAAGTACTTATCTGAAGTCCTCATGTAGTCCTTAAGCCTGGGAAGAAGAGGATTTGGGGCTGGAGGGAACACAGTCTGGTCAGGAGCAAGCCCTGCATAGAAGGATGGGCTGATGGTAGAGGAGGGAGAGCAGGATTGGGTCAGAGATGGGAAGCAGGAAAAATCTGGACCTTAGATTACCTGTGACATTCAGAATCAGGAGACAAGTCTCTCCTGGTTTTGTGCCCCCTCTTTGGTACTGGATGAGAAAAAGTAATGCCCAGCTTTGTTCTACTAGAGGCAAGGAAGCTGTTCTTCCTATAAAGGGACTAGTGAACAGGGCTTCTCACGACTGATAAATTTGAGTCACCGCCCTCAGCATGCTAAGCAGCTGGTCCTAAACCAGACACATACTATTGCCTCATTCCATCTATTCTTCCACTTCTTCAAAAATCCATACATAGTTATTGAAAGTCCACCAGGTCAGGCACCATTAACCAATGAACAAGACAAAATCTTTATCCTCACCATGCAAGAGAGAGAATGAGTAGAGAAACAGACCAGACAAACACAATATACATCTCAGGTTGATCAGTGTGCCCAGGAAGACTAAGCAAGGAGAACACAGGGAGTGGCAGGTGGTGTTTTTGGGTGGAGAAAGTTCTGAGAAGACGATGTATACATTGAAGCATCATTAAGTGAGGGTATGAGCCAGCCTGATGGTGTCAGAATAGCATTGGAGCCTGGGGAACTGTGAGTGTAAAGACCTTGGCGAAAGAGTCAGCTTGACATAATGGACGCAAAGCTAGGAGCTGGGGCTGGAGCACAGTCAGTGAAGCAGAGAGGAGAAGCAGATGGGCTGGGGTGAGATAGTGCCGATCATAGACCATGGTAAGGACTTCGAGTGAGCCCCACTCTCTCTGCCTTTTTTTTAAGGTTTATTTATTTATGCATACAAGAACTGGGGTACAGGCCAGAGGTGTGGGAGGTGACAGGATTCACCAGAGACAGAGCAGGGAACAGAACAGGCAGACTGACTGAAGTACACTGCTGAGGGGAGTAGTGGATGAGTCAGGAGACGTCTGCTGCACCACGTGGGCTGCTCCTTGGCCAGGGATCGAACTTGTGCTGCAGAGGCTGCGGATAGCTTCATAGGTTGCATCTTAACCCCTTGCACCACCCAGGAGGCCCATCTCTCTAATTTCTAAGTAGGAAAGGCTTTATTTTATCCAAAGTGTGATGGAAGGCCATGAGACAGATTTTCACATGGAAGTGATCCTATCTGATCACTCCAGCAACTGTTAGATAATAGTGCACCAAAGATAATATCTGTCAGATGTTTCGTGGAGTAAAGGGACTGAAAACTAAGTGGTCTACAG